CAGTTAAACCAGACAGCCGTCCAGTCATGGCAGCAGCTCCGTCTGTGCATATGCCAACACAAAAAGACCATTTCAGTTTTCCTGATATATAGTCATCCAGCGACTTGAATAGTTCTGCGGCTGTGGTTTTGGTTGGCAACGATAGTGCACATAACATATCCTCATGCACATCCTCCTGATAAAGATATCGCACATAAACAAGCAGTATTGCCTTGTTGTCAATATCTGTAGACACGTCAACCTGGAGTGCATACCACGGTGATGTATTTATTTATCCTCTCTAACAATTGTGTTTCAATGTCATCTGCTATTTCGTCAATGCGCCGAGGGACGGTGCTTAGCCGAAAGAGGCACCTGTGCTATCTTTTTAACCGCAGCGTCTCCTAGAAGTTCACGGCAAATGTCTTTTGTGGCGGGGAGGATCAATTCTTCACCAATAGTGAATGGTTTCTTAGCCTTAGCAATACGGTTAGCCACCAAGTATGATGCTCTCAGTGCACTCGCATTTATTGATGTGGTGGCCCTCAGTAATTGCTTCTGGCCTTCTTGTTCAATTTTTTTTCTTTCAAAATACTCAAAAGGCTTGTCTTTTAATGCGGGGTGCTTGGTCTCCAAGTGGCGAAGCAGTTTTGAAGGCTTCATTGCCTCATTAGAGAGCTGGTTGCCACATATTATGCAGAGCGGGCTTGGTGCGTGTAAATCACCTGTTGCGATAAATCCATATTTCAAGTAGGACTCCTGGTATTGTCTGTTAAATGCAGCTTTCTTTTTCTTGGAAGTCGTAGGCTCTTCTTCTGTCTCCTCAATGGGCCGTTTCCCCTTCGCAAAGAAACTTTCCAGAGACGTTGTTTTTTACTCATTTTGTTAGCTTGTGGGTTTATTTTTTAGCGGTAACGTATCACGTGACCGAGACAAGCGTTGCTATCATAGGGTTGCTATGCGCCAAGAGTGAGTCATAGACAGATGTAACGGAGAGATTTTATTATATTAAAATGTATTATTTTTCAAAATAACACATCGTTCAGACTCAGATAATAAATAAAACTGTAATGAAAGATAATGAAAAAAATAATGTAAGTTATTTATTCTTTCTGTGCGGCCCGGTATCAAATGACCCACGGACCGGTACCGGTCCGCGGCCCGGGGGTTGGGGACCGTTGCTCTAGGCCACAACTTCCATTAGTCAAAAGTCTTGTGGACACATATTTAGTATGTGTTTTGTGGCCTTATTTCAGAAACTTAAATTTTTAGTTTTATCAATAAACATGCATAAACAATATTCTCTCAAAAATACAAACATGTACATACATGTTGCTCACATATTATGGTAGGCCTGTTTGTGCTAAATAGAGTGTAATTTCATCTGTGCCATTAATATGTTTATAAGCAACTGAAAAAAGCACAAATGTCAGGGCATGTCAAAACATCTCAAGGACCCCAAAAACACCTTGGTCCCCAGAGGGTTAAAGACGCATCTCTTTCGCCAAGCATTCACATAATGCTTACCTTTTATACCACTGTTGAATCAGATCGATGAATTAATGCATTAATATTATGAACAGCAGCTATGCTAATTATTTCCCATCTGCTTTTCTGCTGTTATTGTTGTGGCAAATTCTCGATCTTTGGTTCAATTCTTCAAAGTCTGGTTCAGGTCTCAGAAGAAATCTTTCAGAGTCGAAGTTTCAGGTCTCAGAAGAATAACTTTATTGAGCAGTTCAACAAAGTGAGATGGTAGCTAGTCATCTGACATTACAAGGGCCAGTGCTCAGGTCTTATACCTTTTTCTTATCGTTAAGTGTCCAATTAGCGCTCATACAGTTATCTTTTTCTACTTGCTCCTCCTTGGCCTGTCGCCACGATTAGAAACACCTGCATCGTTATTTTATTTTTAATTGGGGCAACCTTCTTTGCGCATGCGTATCTTTTAAAAATGGCTTTATACATGATTTTCAGGTACTTTTCCATGCCCTTTCACCCAGTTTCTTCTCCTGTCCTTAACCAGCCTGCCTTTTTCATGTCCTTTCATCCAGTTTCTTCTCCTGTCCTTATCTAACCTCCCCTCAGGCCTAATTTTCTGTTCATCTCATATCCTTAGGCCTGGTTTTCTCCAATATTACAGCATCTTATATTCAGACCCATGTATGAGACATGTATGAGACAAATGAAATTCCCCAACACATCAGGGGGGATGTGTTGGGGAATTTCATTTGTCTCATACATGTCTCATACATGGGTACTTTTTCTAGTCCCACCTTCAAACCATTCTTACCCAGGGTGTGTCCTCATGAATAGATCTCTCTCTGCATTACCTTTCAAACATGGCCAACCTGGACCATCCAACTTTATCAATAGACCTTCATCATAAGGGCACACTCTGGAGGAAAAGCGAGACCAAACATCTCCACCCACACTTGGCTAGAATGGAGTAAAAGATCTCACCTTCCTGTCAGATCATCATTTTTAAGGGGATGCGCTACTTCAAACATCAAACGTTTTAATACATTCAACACATCTCATCAACTTGAAATCCTAGATCTGTCCCACGGTGTCAGAGGAACTGTGCAGGCGCTTCCGGTGGCCTGGAGTGCTATCTGGGTTGCTCCATCGTTGCCAGAGGTGCCCCAGTCAAGCCAGGGGCGCTATCTGGTGTTGGAGCTGACAGCAGGTTTTTAAACCACCAGTTGAGTCAGCTCTTTTTTCTTCAACAGACGATGACCGCGCTTGCAAATAATTCCTCTTTTGCACTTATAACTATATACATGTTCCAATGGTCTAATGCATGTAAGTTAGAAATTTCTTGACTTGTTACAGGAATGTATCCACAGTATTCCTGCGCCCCATGACGCTTTGCGCGAATTATGGGTGTAACTTCCGTTAAGATGCAAACAATCAGTGAAAGACTAAGCTCTATGGACGCAATAATAGATTTTTAAACCTTTTACGATAACATTACATTATTCTACTCACCCTTCAACCATTGAACATTAAAAGGACATTTAAAAGTGTAAAAGCATCAACAAGGTAACTTTCAACAGACCATGAATAATCTCAAAAGCATCTTTCCACAGCTAAATCGGTCGGTTAAATATCACTGTGGTAATCTGTATTATGTAACATACGTTGCCTTAATAAAAAAGTGTTTTACTTCAGCATTACGTGATACTATTTTAAAGTGATTTCAGTCATTTTGACAGATAATAAATTGTATTTACCTGTGAAACCAAACCTGGAAAGAGACGTGAGGATTTGGAGAGGATTCCAGTGAATTATTAATGGTAACGTTATACATCGTAAATTAAATCGGGAGAACAGACCACAAATGTGCAGTATGTGTTGACCTTTGTCATACTATTACAGCGGAATTCAAAAGGAAAAAAGAAAATAATCATGAGGAAAATAATGCAGAGCTCTTACTATGGATATTCTTGTTATAACATGTCACGTTAAAATACCAAGTGTTACGTTATTCTCATGTTATTCTTAGATAAAACATGAAAGAAAACTGATTGCTCATTAAGTCAAACTGACGGATCAGGTTTATTTGTAGGGCAACCTTATGATTTGAAATGATTCGTTTCAGTCTTTTTGAATGGAAGTTCCCCAAACCGGAAGTGCCGCCCATAATTCAAAACGCAGTAAGCTTGTCAGGAATAAGGTGGATAAGGTATTCAAAAAATATAAAAGTTTAGTAAGTGAATAAAGTGATTAATAGTAATAAAAAAAACATTCTTATCTTTTTCCCATTATTTCTTGTTGCATTACCTCGTACCACGGGCAATGACCTGCTTTAAACCTTCTATCGTCCCCTCTCATACACACATTATAAAAGTGACAGTTAGTGTGATTATATATAAAATATCTTCCATACGATTATATGAGTAAAATATATTCAAAAGATTATATGAGTAAATATATTCAGGAAATAAGGGCCCTTATATAAAACCAAAGGAATGTAGAAAATCCCCTCTAACTAACTTCCTACTCTACCCATACTCTAATTGTTCTAACTAATTTTATCCCCAAATCAAAATACACAGTGGGGCTATCTCCCTATCTTGTCAAAAACAGAGTAAAAAGATTATCAAAATCAAAAGTAATTAAGGTACCCTTATTCCTTGCTTCTTCACCCAACCTCTCACAGGAAGTCATCCAGTTCGTCCAAGCTTGGGCCAATTGGATATACTCCTGAGTTGGTGCATCCAATGTCAATGCCTGATGGTTTCACTGACACATTGATAATTTGTTTTGCAGCTGCACTAGCCAGCATGGATCTGAGAAAAGGCACAACACAGCAGAGCAGCACAAAAACAACACCAATAGTCACTGCTATTATTATTCCCACCTTAATAAGCCATTCTTTCCATGATCCAAACATGGAATTAAGTCAGTATCCAAAGCTCCTGTTTCTCCTCGCATTGGTAGCAACTTCCTGTCTTAATTCCTTTATTTTCTTCACGGCTTTAGTAAAAGATCCATCCGTGGCTGTGTTATTGGGGATGAAGGTACAACAATCAGATCCAAACATTACACATACTCCTTTTTCTGCCAATAACCAATTCAGGGCTTGTCTGTTTTGCCATGTCATTCTGCTAGTGTATTTTAGTTGGTGACCTAAGACATCAAGTGCTTGATCTGTGTAGTTGATGAATCTCTGCTGATTGTAATATATGTAATTAATCCATTCCACATTCTTATTTGGCATTATCCATACAAATATTGATTCAAATCCTGCTGCTGCCTCGTCTCTAGCTTTAAACTCATATGGTATCCATCTTGGCTGTAACCTGTCTATAATAACCAACATGTATCTTCTTCCTCTTACTAATTCGGTCATGTCTACACAATCTATTACTAGATGCTTAAAAGATCCTTCTGGAACTGGAATAGAGCCTATTGGGGTTGCTGTTCCTTTTCTGACATTATTTTTGCACAAATTTCACATTCATTTAAAAATTCATCTACCCTTGTTTGTAAGTATGTGGACCAAAATCCTTGCCTTTTTATCTTCCTTATCATTTCCCCCCTTCCACAGTGATCAAAACTGTGGGAATCCGGAATTAAAATGTTAAGCGATGGGGTGGGGGCTATCATGTGGCCTTCATGTGATCTTCATATATTGTCTGAATCTCTTGTCGCCCCCCTTTGCTGCCATAAATATATCTCAGGTGGTGTTGCTCTGGACTGCATTTGGGCAATACTTTCTACAGTGGGGAGAGGCTGAATCAGGACTTAGGGTGCCATTACCGCTAATTGGCATCCAGAGGCTTGTTTCGCATGCATATCAGCCACATTGTTGCCTTTGATGACAAAGTCATTACCTTTCTTATGGGCCTGGCATTTAATTATGGTCAATTTTGTAGGAAACATCAAAGCTGTAATCAATTTAGTAATTTGGTCTCCATGTTGAATTGGGGTTCCATCACTCTTTTTAAATCCTCTTTTTTCTTCCACACTGCACCGAATAAATGACATACGCCATGGGCATATGCAGAGTCAGTATAAATGTTGGCTGCTTTGTTTTTAGCCAATATGCAAGCTTCATTAAGTGATTTAAGTTCAGCCAATTGTGCTGAGCAAGGTTGCTCACAATGTTGACTTATCACGGGAGTAAAATTATCTCCATCTTTTTGTACAACAGCAAAACCAGCATGGTTACCTAAGTGGTCTCTAAAACATGAGCCATCAACGAAATAATCTACGTCTGCATCAACAATTGGTGTTGATTCCAAATCTGGTCTCAGACGAGTAAATGCTAGAGAGACAGAAACACACTCATGAGGTGTTCCTTCCCCCTCCAGCGGGACAAAATTAGCTGGATTAACTGTGGTACAACGCTTCATCGTGATATCAGGATAAGTTGTCAATGTAGAATATGCTAAGCATCTGGCCTGTGTTAAAACAAATCGTCCTTGTTCTAATAATTCAGCAGTCTTATGATGAGTGTAAATAGTGTTTAAATCCTTGAGGCATTCTAGTGTATGTATATTGTTTACCTTGGTAAGTGAAGGAAAAAAGGTGTCTGCTTTCTTCTGCTAATGGAACGCTGAAAAATGCAGAACAGAGATCAATCACAGTGAAATAATTAGCAGCAGGTGGAACATTCGTCAATAGCGTATGCGGATTTGGAACCTCTGCTGGCCAATCTTCAACTACTTCATTAACTGATCTTAGGTCATGCACTAATCTCCACTTTGACTTGTTGGCTTTTTCGACTGGTAAAATTGGGGTATTACAATAACTAATTGTCTCAATTAGTACTCCTGCCTCAACCAATCCATCAATTGTTGCTTTCTTATTGAACTCCTGGTTTAGTTGCAATTCTAATGGGGTTTGCTGATCTAACTAGGCCTACATCTGTGTCATGTTTTGACCATAACTGTACAGGCACTTGTTGTTCCATCTCTGAGATAAGTTCGTCCATTCTAGACTTCAATTCGCTTTTCTCTACTGCCTCAACTATCAATTTTTGAATCCCTACCATTTTGGTTGTGCAGATGATTATGAGATGTGTCATATCTTTTGTTTGAAAAATGAAATGGTTATCAGTGTCTTCCCAAAGCTTTCCTTCTGCCTTTAACATCATTGGGCCTAGATCTTGTGCTTGACTCCCCTCATTTATAAATAATGTAACGTGGGACTGAATCATCTACTCTAAACCAAGTATTAGTGAATTCACAGTGTTCAATTTGTAACGCTGCTCCCTCTGGTCCTACAATTATGTAATTTGAAGTCAGACACACAGTCTGTCCATTAGTTCCTTTTAACCACTCTTTTTCCATTATTGGATCTCTAAGGGGATCATGTCTCATGGTACAATGGAGTCTGTTTCTGGGGGAACTGGTTTCTGAAGTTTCTCTTTTATATATCTTCCCCATTTTTCAAGTGTATCCCCTACTCCCCAATCTATATTCCTTATCCAGAATATGTTTGTCTGTGGTTCTTGTTGCTCAGCTCTACCCATAACTGTCATCTGTTTTATACCTGCATTTTCTATGTATATCCCTTCAGGAGAGCACCATATCTGTAATTTTAGTTTGCATATCGCATCCCTACCCAACAAATTGACTGGCGTTTGATCTGACACTAGTACAGGAATTTTTATTTCAGAGTCTTTGACTTTTATGCTGACTGGGGCCTTCATTGGGATTAGCTGTCAGTCCCGAAAATCCTACTGTTTTGACGTATTTTCCAGACCTGGGGAGGTGAGAGGCATAATTTGGACTCAACCATGTGAATGTTGCCCCTGTGTCAAGCATAATGGGTATTATCTTGTCTAGTATCTTTCCCATTGTCTCTTCTTCCAGCAGTCTGATCCATTTGCCAGCCCCTTCATGTAGGTCAGGGAGGCGGGCTATCAGTCCCTCCAGATCCTGTCCTGCCCATGGCACGTACTGTCCTTGATGTCCTTTGATCAGGATGGGGCATTGTAAGGGATCTTCTTCCAGTTGTTCCTCTTCATCTTTATATGGACTCAGTTTGCGTGCTGGTATCTCTCTCAGATTGTCTCCTCTCCTCCAGTGTGGTTCGCTTGGGGGTGCTTCTTCTAAAAGGAGGGTTCCAGACACATGCTTGTATTCCCTGTGAGGGCTGGCTGAATGAGATCTTCGTCTTTGATGTTCCCGAAGTCTCTATTGGTCCCTTTCCATGGAGTCTCTTAGGAGTCTTCGCATGGCTTCAGCTTCTTGGTCGATCTGTTCTTTAGTTATCTGTATATCTCGTTCTATTTCTTCTCGGTCAAGTCTGGCTCGTTGTCTGTCAACCTCCACCTTCTTCCCCGTCTTTCCTCCGAGTTCCTGCAAAGCTTGACTTGCAAGGAAATACGGGTTAGTCAATGTAGGGCTTCCGTGAGCGTCAATCAGGTGTTTGAGGTCTAAGTCACTTCCCTGACTCCCTTCATGGCTCACAGCATCCCATCTTGATAAAATTAGAGGGTCACTCATGTCTGCAGCCTCTGCTCCTTTACAGTCCTGTTTCACCTTTATTTCTTCTTCCCTCTCATTTTCAAAATTCACTTTGCTTTTTATAGCCACTGTTCCAGTCACTAGTGGGAGCTGTTTACCAGTCAAGTCATAGGATGGTGCATATGGGGGTGGGGTCTCTATTATGCTTTCTTTTTTCCCTATTTTTTCCCTATATTCCTTAATCAGTTGTGCTCCCTTTTTTCTAAATAAATTCAACACCTCTTGTTCCTTTCCCCGTTTCTCATCTCTTTTCTTGCTCTTATCATGGGCTTTGTGATTTTTTTATCAAAGCTCCCATTTCCCTACACATAGCCAAATCAAATGTTCCCTCTGCTGGCCACTTAGTATTTAATTTTTTGGTCCTTTTTTCCCACTTTTTTGACAAGTTTTTAATTGTATCCCTGCATATCGGATATTGTGATGCAAGCTGTTCTACGGGGGTCTTTTCTTGAGGTGACACCGAAGTCATCGTTTCAGCACCTATTTATTTGTACCCCACTTAATTAGTTAAGGCACAATCACTTAGTCTTCTGCTAATATTTAATAATTCAGGTATTTGTTTTGTTTTCCTTAAAATATTTCAAAATGGTTCGTATTGGTACCTTAGACAATGGCTTCGCGTCACTTCTTCTTGCTTGTTCTATGTACTGCGCTGCCAAATTATGTTCTCCCCCAGGTATATTAATTCAAAAGGCTATGTTTTCCTCAAACCACTGGCCTCATACAGTTATATCTCCTTCCCTATACAAATAAGTAAGAGATGGATTGAATTTGTTCAGGTGTGGCCTCAGGGTTTCAAGAGTTAACTGTTTTTTGATCACATTACGCCAATCCACTAAGGGCCATTCTTGCTCAAGCTGATCCAAGTTTGTGATCTTTGTCAATTTTTAAAGAGCTCACTTTTCCTTTGGTCTGTCAACTCCTGTCTCTGCCCTTCGTTATCTATAAACTCATTTTCTAACCAGAAGTGATTCTTAAAGCCTTTGGTTAGTTTTAATGCCTGTTTAAAATCGTCTTCGTCCTTTCTTTCTCTCTATATTCCCTTCTCCTCTGCCTCATAATGATCTCTCACTCTGGTCTACATGTGTTTTTTTTTGTGTGTTTTTTTTAAGATGTCAAAGAATAAAAAGCTCTCCTTCTCTGTCACTGCTCTCCCTCCAGTTTGTTAGTATATTCATTCACACACCCGGGACTTCATTCACACACATACACGTACATTCACTCGTTATTTGATATCTTATACTAAATGCAAAAACAATGCTTCTTTACTCAGTTCTTATCCAACAAACGTCTCGGGTTACGTATGTAACCCTTGTTCCCTGAGAAAGGGAACGAGACACTGCATCGGTGACGACACTAGGGGAACGCCCTTCAGCGTAGCGCGTCTGAATTTATGAATGAAAACGAATCCAATCCTATTGGCGTTGCGTGATGACGTAGCGAGTGACGGCATACACGGATGGGTACAAAGGCACACCGGCACAAGCAAAGTCAGCTCTTTGCTATGAAGCAAGTGCTCCAAGCAGGGTGAGGTGTGGCGAACCGACGCAGTGTCTCGTTCCCTTTCTCAGGGAACAAGGGTTACATATGTAACCCGAGACGTTCCCTTTCGAGGGAACTCGAACTGGGTCGGTGACGACACTAGGGGAACGAGATACCCACTATACCACAACGAACCCTGCTCATCCTAGTGTGAACTGACTTCAGGCACAACCTAGGACGAAAGCACTCGTGCACCGGGTGTAGAGGGAAGGTCCAGACTGTAAAACCTCATGAATGTGTGCAGAGTGGCCCAGCCAGCCGCCTCACATATGTCATGTATGGAAACCCCTGAAAGGAGGGCTCTAGAGGACGCCATGCCTCTGGTGGAGTGAGCCCTCACGGCCATAGGTGAAGGCAAATTGCGCACCTGATAGGCCAGGGAAATAGTCTGAACGATCCAGTTGCTGATGGTCTGCTTAGAGGCGGGAAGCCCCTTCTTGGGAGACCCAAAACACACCAGCAACTGGTCCGACTTCCGCCATGAGGAGGACTTCTGGATGTAATACTGAAGTGCTCTGACAGGGCAGAGCAGATGAAGTCTCTCCTCATCCGCCGTCACATGAGGCGGAGGATGAAATGCCTGCAGAACCAAAGGCCGTGCCATATTAGATGGCACCTTGGGCAAATAGCCAGGCCTGGGGTGAAGGATGGCCTTAATGTTGCCGGGAGCAAACTCCAAGCACTCATTGGAAATAGAGAGCGCCTGGAGATCTCCTACCCTCCTCAGAGAAGTAATAGCCAACAAAAAGACCACCTTGAAGGTCAGGTTCTTGGCCTCAGCCGACTCCAATGGTTCGAAGGGGGCCTCGGCCAGCCCTTCGAGCACCACTGCCAGGTCCCAAGAGGGAACCCTGGTGCGAGTCGCAGGTCTCATCCTCCAGGTTCCACGGAGGAAGCGTACGACCAGGTGATGCCTCCCCAGAGGACCATCACCCAGAGGAGCGTGGAAAGCCGCAATGGCAGCCACATAAACCTTGAGTGTGGACGGGGTAAGCCCGGCAGAAAAGCGGTCTTGGAGAAACTCCAGCACTGAAGCCACTGGGCAGTGAACTGGGTCCAAATCATGCTCTCTGCACCAAATGGAAAATACATTCCACTTAAGGCCGTATAACTTCCTCGTGGAGGGAGCTCTGGAAGTTAGTATAGTCTCAACTACTTCTGCTGACAGGCCGGCTTCTAGGTACTGTGCCCCCTCAGGGGCCAGACCCACAGTTTCCACAGCTCGGGCCGAGGGTGGAGAACTGAGCCTCCCGCCTGAGACAACAGGTCCCTCCTCAGAGGGATCTGCCATGGCGGGCCTGCCAGAAGCAAGATGATGTCCGAGAACCATACTCGGGCCGGCCAAAACGGGGCTACTAATAGTAGGCTGACACCGTCCCGACGGACCCTTTCCAGAACTGCTGGGAGCAGAGCGATTGGGGGAAAGGCGTACAGACGCAGCCTCGGCCACGTCTGCACAATGGCATCCAACCCCAGCGGGGCTGGATGTGTGAGGGAGAACCACAGTGGACAGTGTGTCGTCTCTCGAGACGCAAATAGGTCCACTTCCACTGGGCCAAACCTCTCGCATATTAACTCCACCACCTCGGGGTGGAGTCTCCATTCCCCGGGCCTCAGCCCCTGCCTCGACAGCATGTCTGCTCCCTGGTTCTGGTCCCCCGGGACATACATCGCCCTGAGAGACGACAGTCTCCGCTGGGACCACAGGAGGATCTGATGCGCCAGTCTGCACAGAGGGCGCGACCTCAGACCCCCCTGATGATTTAAGTAAGATACCACCAACATGTTGTCGGATCTTACTAGGACATGGCGACCATGGAGGTCTGGCAGAAAGCTCCTCAGAGCCCGGAACACCGCCAACATTTCTAGGCGATTTATGTGCCAAGAGGAATGTTGGTCCTGCCAGAGACCTCTCGTAAAGCGGCCGTCCATGACCGCGCCCCAGCCCGTGAGGGAGGCGTCTGTCGAAATGGATATCCGGCGACATGACGCTCCCAGCCTGGGACCTTGGCACAAGAACCAAGGCTTCTTCCAAATTGATAGGGAACGAAGGCATCTGCGCGAAACCCTTATCAAGCGGAACGGACTTCCCCTCGGGGAAAACCCCTTGGCTCTTAACCACCACTGTAGCGCTCTCATGTGTAGCAGGCCAGAAGGTATTACGCTGGACGCCGCTGCCATGAGACCCAACACTCTCTGAAAGTGTTTGACAGTGATGGCTTGGCCTAGCTTTATCCTGGACACTGAAGTCAGGACGGACTCGATCCGAGCAGGAGACAATCGTGCCCGCAT